ATCGCAGCTCAAAGAGGCAGGTCATAAAGTCACCACCAACATCAGGTAATGACTCAGCTTCGCTGCCCGCTCATAGGAAGGACAGATTGTGCTCTGGTAGGTACAGCATCAGCCCCCCCGCCTTCAGGGCACGTTTATGAATGTCGTAATCTCAGGTTGGCCCCTACAATCTCGCCGTTAGTTTTTCGTCAGTTGCAGTCGTCTACACTGACATGTTCCTTCACCCACAGAACCCATCTCTTGTCCACAATCACTTTCAATACCCTACCAAAGCCCACAACACCATGCACCCATCAGAAAGCCCCCACGAAGACCGGTATCAATCTCAAGACGACAACAAACCTCCATCTCGTACCGCTTACCTTCTCGCTCTGTGCCTCCTCCCACTCCTCACAACCTCCCTAGCCCTCTGGGCCGTCCTCAACGCCTGGCACCTCCAACTCTCCCCCAACATCCCTCACCAGCCACGAGCCCAGCACCACCAGCCCCTCCCAACCCATCCCCACCGATGGACAACCTGCGGCACCACCCCAGCCACCGCCCGCGCCCGCAACTGCCGCTTCGACATCCTCAGCTTCGCCTGGCAAACCCCCGAATGCTACGACGGTGAGCTGATGACCGCCTTCCTGCAGCACCACCCGTGGCAGTTCTACGCGCACCCCAACCGCACCGACGCCGTCGTCAGCCTGGAGGTCGCGCTGCAGGGCGAGCAGACGCTGTACGTGGATTGGGCGTATCATATCGCGCATTGTACGTTTATGTGGCGCCAGATGCATCGCGCGTACAGGCTGCGGGGGTTTGTCGATAGTCATTTGGATGCGTACGCGCATACGCTGCATTGTCAGCGGGTGTTGTTGGAGAGGGGGGTGCCTGGGGGGAGGGTGAATGTCGTCGCGGCGGTGAAGTATCCCGAGTGTAGGGAGGTTGGGGGGAGGGGGTGGAAGTTGGAGGGGGAGAATTTCTCCGGTGAGGGAGGACATAATGGGATTGAACCATGCTCGCGAGAGCGTTCTGCTTAGGGAACCCAATGTAGATGGGGAAGTTGCTGAAGAATAACCGGGCGGCATTTGAATATAAAAAAAGCTCACCAGAGCACCAACATCTACGTCCGCAGTGTTCCAATTATTTGGATCAACCCTGATGCTATCTAAACACAAGTCTATGTGGAAACCGCACCTTGGACGCACCTCTCGGTTCATCACTGCTTCTACAGACCGCTTCTGAATCAAGTTTCCCTTCAAACGGGATACCTGTGTTCTAGGGAGGGCCTGGGGCTTCTCAAGTCTAACTAACAGTGCCAACCAACAGATCCAACAGGGCTCAGGTGCGACGTTGTTCAAGCTTTCATCAGGGTATTGACACGATTATTCTAGTGCAGGATAAACAGGCACATATTAGCTAGGCCTTTTGCTCACAAGGTGCAGTCACCGTTGAAGCCATTCCCACCCCCCTTGCCCCTTGGTTAACGACAACCTGTCTGTCCAACCATCAATGGAGCTCCTTTCCAGCCTTCAATGAGGCATCTTCACTGCCATCAAGTTCTCGTCCAACCGCCCGAACGTTGGGTGGCTAAGCAACCGATCTTGCAAAAGGAACGAACGGTCCATCGTCCACTTGTGGAGCCACTCCCAGTTCACACATTTTCGTTCAGCTGGTGAGTCTGGCTTCGGCGCTGCCATGTGCGGATCCCAGTGGAACGTCCGCATAGACGTATCACCGTTGCAGAGGACGGACTCGAGGAGACTCCAGAGGCAGTGTTCTGTGAGTGGTGTATGTTAGCCTCAATAAGCAATGCATAGTGGGCATCCAGAGACAGCGCGGGACTTACTATAATGACCCATAGCGGCCTTATCTGCAGCTTGTTCCTCCCAAGTCTTGTTCGCGTAGTACTCAGGGTTCAGAAACCACCGGAATCTCATCTGCCAAATGCTGGTTTAGTGCAGTTGTTTGGAAAAAGGGGCGACGGGAGTTGAAGAACATACCAGGCAATGGAGTTCATGATACACGGTGAGCGTAACATAATAATCGGGGTTGTCCGAGCCATCTGCCACACGGACTGAGGGGCGGTTGTTCATGGCTGCTTCGTACCGCTCTGCCGGAACCCGAGTGTTGAAGGCTATGTGGCATGGGTTAATTGCTATCATTGCCCATTCTTCGAGGATCGACTTCAGATACATACGCTTAAGCAGGTCATACCAAGCATCATCAAGCTCGGGACTCGGTTTGCCGTGGACCAGATGGTGGGTCCAGGTATCGCCATGCTGACCGGTTTCGGTGATGACATACTCTTTCTCGTCAGGATGAGGAACTTTAGGGCCGTCAGCTTGATATAATCCTGGGGGTGTCAGTCTTGTCGCGACATACAACTAGAGGCAGGGGCGGAAGGTTGAGGATGATATGAACCGAGAAGAGCCAACTTCGTAATCCAGCAGATTCCAAGGGAGTATGCCACAAGGCCTGCGGTCATGAGCATTGGCCAACGTAAGGTCGAGTACCATCCTCTGGTCTGAAAGTCTCGTTTCTCCTCGAAAAGCGAGCTTGCTGCATCCTCGTCACTGTCCCCCGGGTTGTTGGTAGATACTGGGAAATATTTTGATGGCATTTCTTTCTAAGCTTGGAGAGATCAAAGATGACTGATGGAAATTACGCCGGAGTTTGTGGTTGAGGTAAATATGTCTCTGGGTTGGGGAGGAGATCGTAACGGAAAGGAATTTGATTTTGGTAGAACGGTTGGGGAGCTTCAAGTTCCAGAACGATTCGAGGCGGCGGGAGGCCAAACGGCGAGGCCGCAAGTACTCTGCCTCGGACTTTCCAAGGAGGCCTTCAAGTTTTCCCGGTTACTTTCGGTGGGTGGGCTGCAAGACATTGGTCAAACTCCTTTAGCGCCAACAGTCCCATCGCTTGATGTTAGTGATAGTGTGCGGCGGAGTTCGGTGTCACAACCAACAGAAATCCTTCGCGGTATGTACCAGACTTTTTGAGTCAACGAGGGAGCGTGATAGGTCAGATTCTTGCAGATGCTGTGAGACGCAAACCAAAACATTTGATGTTCCTGGTGAAGAAGCCTGGGATAGGCCCAGCGCCACGCAACTGTTCCGGCACCATGGACCGCAAACGCGGCTCTGCTGACCACCTCAATCAGGAAGGTGTGCAATGGGGTTGGCTTTAGTTCCAAGTTACTTCGGCGCGCCAGTGGCCTTACGATGCAACAGACGTATCGGATACTGTGTAAGTTCTTTGCCGCCCCCATGCCTCATCGACTTGAAAGTCTCATCCAAATGCAAGGGAGAACCGCCATGGCTGCAAGGCAGATTGGGGGACTTTTGGTAGACCCAGGATTGTTGGTGATGAACGGGGCAGACAACGCGCTCGGGCCGACCTTCACACCATCTGCAAGATGATCGAAGAATGGCCCTAGTGAACGAGTACTTCCAGTACCATAGGTATCCGGCCCACCGCCGCTTCAATGACTTATAAGGGGACTGAGCCTCCCGCAACCTGATCCCCAAACTCTTTTCTCATCCGCCATCTTTTTCATCCAGCTCCCCTTACAACTGTTCTCCACCACCCAGGACTCACTCAACTGAACCAATCTCAAGCCACCCTTTCTTCCTCCTCAACTTCCTACAATGCTCTTCAAGCAGTCCATCATCGCCGCTGTCATGGCCTCAGCCTCGTTGGTTCTGGCACTGCCGGCGCCCAACGCGATCAACCTCTCGGTCCGGGATGAGGACTCCGACGCGGATTATTACAAGCGTTCAACATTTGAGACGTTTGTTTGCAAGCGCAATGACAAGTATGTACCCTCTTCACTTCTCTCCAGCAGTGTTTGGGCTCTTAGACGTAGGGTTAACATTTTCCAATAGCCAATCTCTGAGCTGCCTCCGCAAGAAGAGTGACGGCGGGGACGAGTCCAAGTCTGCCAACGTTTAACCTTGCAGGCTGCAGCCGTGAAATAAGTATCGATGGTTTGGTTGGTTGGGGGAATCGTGCAGGGAGGGCCGAGGGGGACTTTGCTGGGTTTGGATAACACCTTCGTTTATCAGCCAACTATCCATAACGTTGCGAGAATATGAATCTGAGCTTGCCACATTGTGTCTTGACTGTTGTGCACTGGGGATACAGTGATGGATATTGAGGATCCTGTCTCCAGTGTCACATGGCTTCCATCTCCACTCACAACACCCATGCACAACAACTCTCGCCACCAAATCACCCCCTTGGCCTATAATCAACGTGACCAGCATCCGGAGCAGCCCAACTTGGTCGTAATGTTGCCGGCCCAAGATAGTCGGCCCAATCTGGCAATCCCGCTTCGCAACGCCGGGCATCCGAGAGTTTACCCCTTGGGCCCACAAACGAACCTTTTTTTCTCGGCAACGCCAACTATCGGCATAACATTGGCTGGCCTTATGTGTGGATTCGAGCAGCCCCATGACTCGCGTCAAGGATCAACAAGAAATATGGGGATAATACGAAAACTACAAGGGGGCTGCGGCTTGTCGGCTCCCTCTTTTGGTTTCATCTTTCAAGACTTCGGTATGTTTCAGTCCTCGGCCCCTTTCATGATCTTGGGGGACGATATGAGAGAGAAACGCTTTTGATTCTTTCTCCATCTGCTTGTCTATCCCGGCCAGCAGTAAGGGGCAGGGTACCGGAATCCCGTTTCGCCAGTCATGGGACGAAGAATTGCCGGTTTTCTGGCGCCAACATCGGTAGTTAATCTGCTGGCCATAATCAGCACCGTCTTCCCAGCTGCCGCAGACGCAGCGTATGTACAATGGATACGCTGCCCCGATGGAAATGGAGGCACGCAGGGGTTTAAGGACCTCTGGCCAACATCGACGACGGCGCGCCTCATCTCCGACCGTGACCCCGTTGCGCAGTCCGGTCCGAAGCTAGAATTCGATATCAGGGCCGATTATGCCGGCGAGGCGACGTGTACAAAGCTTCTGCAGGGCGGCCCGCCAGATGTAACGGTCAAACTCGATGCGCTGGGCTTGTCAGAGACATATGTCGTCCGCCCTATGAACTGGACGTGCTTGTCGTTTTGGGACAGGCCTGCTGTGGAACAAAAGTAAGTCGCAAGCTCCCCTATTTTTCTGTCCAGCCACTGGAACAATGAGTCTCTAGTTTCCTAAAGAACCAGTCACCCGAAATACGACTGGTTGCGCAACATGACGTCGGCAAGCTTGGGTTGCTGCCAGCATTTTCAACGCAGGTATCCTTCTCGGCTAGCAACAGGACCGGTTCGGAGTTAGCATCGTCAGCGTGCGTCTATTCTGAAATTACTCCAGAGATAAGGCATGTGGTATTGACTGCAGCACGGTACGGGCCCATTGTTGTGTTCTTGTTGGTGTTCCTATCCGGCCTCCTGGTCACCCTTTTCGCCCCAGCCGTGTCCGCGCAACGTCCCCCCTCGTTGGGTGAAGGCTCTCAACACCACCTCACCACCAATACTCATTATGGCCTCCAAAGAGCTATTCTCCCGGGCGTCGGCGACTGCCTACTCCACCTACAGTTCATCTTTTTTCTAGGTGCTCTTACACTTCGGTACCCCGGCTTCTACCAACCGATCACCAGTCTACTCCATTGGTCCGCACTATTCAGTCCCATCGGCCCCTTTGGCCAGGAGTGGAGGTACGATGGCGTGAAGGACGGCATCTATGAGATCAACGGTACGCTCACAGGGACGTACGGCCTAGAACTCATGTCACAAATCACGGGTGGACCGGTGACCACGGACGTTTGGTGGAACATGGTTGTCATCGCGGCTATCATCACCGGTGTTGTTGCCGTGTTTGTCTTCCTCCATAAACTTCTCGCACAGCATGCTCCATCTCTCAACTGGTTGGCCACATATGAATATCCGGGCGGCGAGGGCCCAACCTCTGGCTCGGCCTTTGCTCGTGGGATGTGGAACGTGCTACGAGTCATCCTCAGCTACTTCCTCACCCCTATCGTCGCCATCTCAGCCTACCAGCTCGACAACCTCCTGCTACCAGCATACCACCTCGCTCTCGCCTCCTTGTTGATTGTTCTAGTAATAGGCGGTCTGATATGGATGTGGAGGATTGCGCCTTCAAATCAGCTGGGAATCCTGCTTCTGGACCCGTCAAAGCGATATCGCCGAGTCAGTACGGATGGCACAGGTAGTGATGCCGACTTGGAACGGCCAGAGAAGGCCAGGGACCTTTTTGTGGCCATCTTCTTCTTGCTGGCGTTTGTTCGAGGGATCACAATTGGTGGGCTCCAATTCTCGCCACTTGCGCAGGTTATCGTCCTGGCCGTGGCCGAGCTGTCCCTGCTCGTGGCCACGGCGGTGCTCCGGCCCATGAGACGGCGGATCTTGTCCGTCTTCGTCGGGTCTGGCGTCGTGAGACTCGTCATCGTCGCACTCACGGCTGTCTTCCTCCCGGAGTTGGATGCCGACATATCGACAAGGAGCGGTGTAGGGGTAGCCATTCTCGCCCTCCATGCCGCCGTCTTGGTGTTTGGGTGCGCTGTGCCAGCCGGGATTCGTATCGCCAGTCTCGTTAGCACCAGCAAAGCGCCTGCTGATGAACCCGAGGTGAGTAAAAAAGCTTATACAGTGCTACGATTCCGGGATGCCCTAACAAGTTTTTCCACTCTCTAGATATACGGGTTAAGTCAGCTCCGACGGCGCAGCTACGCCCTCAACAACCTCTCCGTTGCCCCCCTACGCTCCCCTGCACCAGCAGGCCCCTACGCCTCGCCAAGGACGGACCATTCAACCTCCTACCACGGCCACAGCCTCAGCGACGCCAGCAGCGTCTTCTACCCCAACTATAGCTCATCCCCCGACGGGCCCTATCTCCGCGCGGTGCCCCAACACCACTACTTCCGCCCACCACGAACCTCCTCTTCCACCAGCCGAACCCGCCCCCACGCCTCCAGCAGAATCACCTCCCACCCCCCATCAACATCAAGCCCGCGAACCTCCAGCTCGCAACGCTCCTCCTCCCAAAGCGGCAGCTCCCCGCGCGCCGCCCGATCCTCCCTCCTCCCCGCAACAAGCTCCCCACGCTCAGAAACCTCCAGCTCGGAGGGCTCCGAGGGCGCCGTCACGGACACCTCCGAACTACCGCTCTACACCCCGCAATTGGCCAACTACGCCTTCCGCGAGGCAGACCTGTACTACGGGCACGGCCGGCCCCGGCGCACCGGCACTTTTGGCCCCGGCGCTGCCGCCGCTGGTCGTGGGGGTGTCAGTGGGGGTGGTTCGGCTGCGGTTGCGCCGGCGCCGGGGAGCCAGCCGTCAACGGTTCGCTGCATCGTGTCGGGCATGCGGGACCAGCTGATGGGACGCAGGTCGGCGTCGGTGGAGAGGCGGGGGGCGGGGAAGGGGTTTGAGGTGAGGAGGCCGCCGCGGCCGGGGGGGCTGTGAGTTGGTAGTGTTTGTGTTAGGGCAATGGGGAATCGGGGGGTGAGTAATAAGGGGGTGGGGAGTGACGGAATCTAACAATGGTGTAGAGGTGATAATGTATGGTAGCTAATTAGAATTAATACACTGGGGCGTCGTTTACATTGCCAAAGCTGTCTTATCTTCTTACGCTCGGCATGATGGTCGCGCTCATGAGGTGGTAGGTACCGAGCAGCCACTTACCCAAGGCCCATTTTGATCCTTGCCATTGCAATGCCGTCCCTCGCTACTTTCTGGAGCAAAAGGACTTCTTTCGGACGACTTGACGACTGCTGTACCCACCTCCTCGCGTATGGAGGTGGCAACTGGGGTCGGACGGGCTGACCGATCGCTGGGCCAAGGGCTTCGGTGTAACTTGACGTCGCATTCTCAGCCGAGAATGCGACCAAGGTGAGCTCCCAATAGGCATCGGTATTTCCCCTCACACAGGCTGACGCGAGGAGCTTGTATCAGCCCTCTCCCCGTTTGATACGTAGGCAATCGGTAATCATCGTTGGCCACAAAACCCGAGCCCCCCAAGAAACTTCAGAGCAATCCCAGAAACATTTACCCGGACTTGAGGCCTGTCTTGACCCAAGATGACTCTTTTTGAGACCGTGATGGAGCATCAATGGCCTCTCATGGTTGCCATCACGGCGCTGTATGTCGTGAACGCTTTGCTACGATACTATCGGCTACGCCAGTTTGGTGGACCATGGGCGACTGGGTTTACCAAGATCCGACATAATATCAACGTCTTCACGGGTGAGGCTCACCATTGGTACCAAAAGGTCAGTGAGGAATATGGTACGTCTGATCCCACCTCCACCAACCTATGCCTGACTCCGGCCCTTACACATACACTTGGATACTAGGACCTATCGCTCGAGTCGGCCCAACCTCCCTTATCACGTCCGACCCCGAGGTCTGGGCCCATATCAACACCAAACCCGGATACAAGCGATCTAAATGGTATTTTGAAGCCTGCCGCGTCGAGTATCAGCGCGACCACATCTTCAGCCAGACCAACACCAAACTCCACGACGAGCGCCGCAAGCAGATCGCCCCTGGCGTAAGCACCTTTTTTTCTCCCCATCGCCCCATCACAGCTAAACTAACCCTCTCAACAATATCAGTACTCAGGCCGCGAAAACCTCGAACTCGAAACCTCCATCGACGCGCGCCTCACCGAGCTCGTCACCCTCATCCGCCGCAAATACCTCTCCCGCCCCTCCACCAATGGCAGCGGCAGCGGCGGCGGCGGCATCATTGCCATGGACCTCGCCAAAAAGATCCAATTCTTCACGCTCGACGTGATCAGCGCCGTCGGCACGGGCCGCCCCCTCGGCATGCTTCGCGCCGATACCGACGTCGACCGGTACATCCGGTCGAGCGAGGAAGGGCTGCGGATCGGGGCGGCGTTTTCGGGCCTGGGCCTCTCGTGGCTCGCGCAGGCGCCGATCCTGGGCGCGTGGCTGGCGCCGAGGCCCGAGGATAAGAGCGGGTTTGGGGCGCTGATGGGGGCGTGTTTCCGCGTGGTGGACGAGCGGGTGCGTGGGGCGGCGCGGGATCAGGGCAGGAGGGATATGCTGGCGTCGTTTATGAAGCATGGGTTGGAGGGCGCGGATTTGAAGTCGGAGGTGTTGGAGACGTTGATTGCTGGGTCGGATACCACGGCTGCGGCGCTGAGGGCGACGATGTTGTATGTTATGGGGCACAAGAGGGTGTATGTGAGGCTGCAGGAGGAGATTGATGAGGCGGTGAGGGAGGGTAAGGTGGGTAAGGACGGGGAAAGGGTGATTTCGTTTGCGACAGCCAAGCAGCTGCCGTATTTGCAGGCCGTCATCAGGGAGGGTTTGAGGGTGTTTCCCCCGGTCAGGAACATCTTGCCCAAGGATGTTCCCGCGGGCGGGGATACGGTCATGGTGAATGGGAAGCCGGTGTTTCTGCCTGGTGGAGTCGACATCGGTTACTCTGCATTGGCCATGCACCATGACAAGAAGCTGTATGGCGAAGATGCTGCCCTATTCCGGCCCGAACGGTGGTTTGAGCCTGATGAAGAGAAACTGGCCGCTATGCTCAAAGTTAATGAGCTTACGTTTGGCCATGGGCGGTGGCAATGCCTTGGTAAGAACGTGGCTCAGATGGAGTTGAACAAGACGTTCTTTGAGGTAAGTTCACAGACGTAGCCAGAGTCCTCGGAAGCTCGCTAACGAACCACAGTTATTCCGGTATTTTGACTGGGCTATCGCCCATCCTGCGAAGCCCTGGGATATCATGAACACTCTTGGTATTTTTGTCATCAACGACATGTGGGTGCAAGTGACGGCCCGCTGAGAGATGGGCCAAGGCAGGCTGATTACAAACGTATTGCTCGCTTTTGATCTGAACTTTCTTCGGTAGGTAGAATACAATTTCAGACTTAGGCCTTGGTATGGGCCGGGAGATGCATGATTTTAGGTTCGTGAAGGGCGCCAAAATGCCTGGAGGAACTCCAGGTTCCTTAGGTCAAAAATGCCATGGCCTGCTCTAAGTACGAACCAGTTTTTTCTCCAAAAAAAAAAGCCCAAAAAAACCCTACAAAACGGTGGCATTTCTAACCTGTACTGTCGACTTCTCACTGTAGAATTTTGGCTTTTTTCTCCTTTTCGACTTCTCTCGATGAGTTCTCCTTGAACTGTAGCGTTTTCCTATTTGAACTGTAGTGGTCCGTGCGCAACACTGCAAAACGTCGGCTAATTAATTCTGCCGCTCTGATGCAACTGCCACACAGCATCACAGCATAACACCCGAAGCAACGTTACGATTCCACAACGGCGCAGTGAGAATACCCTCATTTGGGCATCGAGAATGGATTATTTAAGTGCTAATTTTTTGATTTCAGGTTTTCTTATTAAATATATGTCATTGCGCAGTCTGCAGGACATGGAGGAGTTACCGGCTTCACTCCAACCAGAGGCTGTCTTGACAGGGTCTCCTTATGGTGCACCTGCACCACCAAGCATCCCGCCAGGCCACCGTCTCCTCACTGGCCCGGCTTACGCCTCCTGCAACGAGCTCTTGCTTGATCTGAACTTTTAGGGGAAGTCCTATGGTCTGGGATTTGTGAAGAGGCGAGCTTCGAATTGAGAGTTTTGCGTATTTTCCTGAATCAGGGCTTGAAGAACTTCTTGGTATTCGTGCGTTCTGCTGGATGAAAATGGTGACTATTGGAGCGAAGTTCCATGATTTGTCTCCAAAGTAGGGCTCCGAATCATGCAGCTCACCGCCTTCCCGTTTTGGCTGACGCACGGACCACTACAGTTCAAATAGGAAAACGCTACAGTTCAAGGAGGAGAACTCCTCTCGATAGCATCTCGAAGTCTGGCGTCATCTGCATTTTGCTTCGTCGAATTGGCATCTCGCAGTTGGTCTTGGCGGTGGAGGTGCACGGACTGTTGTTGCTTTGGTCTGGCCAATCAAATCGCCGGAAAAAAGCCGCTTACCCGCACTTTGGCATCAGGGCCCCTGTGACTCGCTGCTTCGCTCGTGCCTTTGCGTGCCTCCGTCGCGCAATCCTCGACAATCACGAACCAAAAAATTAAATTTCTGTCAAAAAGTGGCGGAAATGAGGTTTCATGGTCGACATCTATTATGGGTTGACTATTGCTACTAGAGCGACGTACCCGCATCTTCGTCAGCAGCTTCAGCAGCCTGCGCTGATTCAGGCATGGCGTCCCATTCCTGAAACCACGGCTCGTGCCTGTGGTCTTCCTCGAACCGCCGTCTGGTCTCCTCACCCTGTCGTTCCAGCTTGAGGATGGCGTCCCTCATGTCTTTATCAAGCACGTTCTTCGGCTCGATGAAGTCACTGCGCGCCGGCTTCCGAAACAGATGCAGCCCGTCCCAGCTCTGCGCCCTCGACAGCTGCACGTACAAGCTCATGAAACTGGGCCGAGTCGCTGTGCCGCCGCCGCGTACCCCTTTCAGGTTGACGAGGACGTCTGAGAACTGCTTTCCCTGGCTCTTCTGATCCGTCATGGCGAAGGCCGGCGTGCAAAGAGGTCCCGTTCTGTGGGTGACCCACCGAAAACCCGGCTTGCCGTGGCGGAGCACGTCGCCCAGCTCTTCGACGCGCAGCCGCTTCGCCGATTCGGTGTCATGCTTGGCTACAAAGATGGAGATGTGTTTGCCGTAGGCACGGGCCCACTGGACGACGGCTGCCATGTTCAGGTCCCACCGGTCTTGGTTCAGGGGCGTGATGGCTCTCAGACCGTCTACGAAGGACGCCTTGCACGACGGTGTATAAAGGCGTTGACTGAGCCGCTGGAAGTCCAGCTCGGTCTGCTCGCCGTTGCGCAGGCGCCCGAGGAAGCCCCGAAGCCTTGGGCAACCAGCCGCGCGGACCTGCTCCTGGAGGATGACAACGGTTGTGAACTGGAGGAACAGCCTGTGCGCTGCGAGATGCTTCGCCAAGCTTTCCGGTCTCTGTCCGCCATGGTCCCTGGGCGCCGGCAAGAGGAGGCTGGTCTGCAGGACGGGGTCGAACTGGAAGAAGTCCCCGAAGAACAGGACCATTGGGATCCCGCCAAACGGGCGATAACCCTCTCCCGAGCCAATCAGAAGCAAGAGGTCTACAGCGGGAAAAAAGAGGGCGCGACTGTACGATTCGACGCTAGTCTGACTGAAGAAACCACGTTTCCTTACTTTCCCAGCATTCGTCAATAACCATCATGAAATGGGAAAAAAAAAAGACAATTACATCGTTGACTCCGCTATGGGGCCTACCTGCAGCCGGCAAGTTCCTCCAGGCTTCCTTTGGCGTGCCCGCGCGCAGCGGGCACGATCACTCCTGTTCAATAGGGAAACGGACCTGAAAAGGCATCCAATCAGGAACCAGCGTCAGTGGTTTAGTGGTAAAATCCATCGTTGCCATCGATGGGCCCCGCGTTCGATTCGCGGCTGACGCATTTTTTGACCTTCAGCACATACTTGATGCCCTTCTCTTTTGTCTTCATACACTACCTCCCGACCCCCTTTTCAACTCGGAACTGGAAAAGGGACACTCAGTCTGGAGTGTAGACAGCATTGGGGGGTTAGTAGGCATCACGAGATATAAAAAAATTCATTGCAATATCAAACCCACACTACTGAAGGTGCCTTGCATTATTCGCTCTCATCTGGTGGCGGCATCATGCTCGGCATGGGGTGCCAGTACCGGCTGGCCGGATCCCACCACCCCTTGTCAAGAGTCGTCGCGTTCCGGCAGTTCGGCTTCTCATATGACGCCTTGTCCCCAAACGGCCACATTGGGATGAAACACACCTCATCAAAATTGCAGCCCGCGCACTCCTTCCATGTGGTCCACTTCAGCTTGCCCATCAACACTCGTAAGGACTCCTTAGCCGTAATGATCGAATCCTCATCCGCATGGGTATTCTCAACGACCAACTTTCGGACCGTAAGCAGTGTTGAGCAGATGTTGTGGGTGACAGTCTCGATGGCTGCTAGGATAAGATGATCTTCCTGTGTGTCGGGGACGACTACCCTGGTGTAATATCGAGTGCAGCGTCCAAGAGCGGCCTGGTATCCATCATCCTCCTCGGAGTAGTCGATGTGCGTGTTCAGCAACCCATTCACCTCACCCTGCATCCACGCAAGAGACTCGACCCTATCAGCCATATACTTCAACCGGTCTGCATACCGCGCCACAATCAAGTCCACCACCCCTTGCCAATCCACCACCCTCCCCTCGCGCTCGACCGGCGGCTTCGGCAGAGCTAACATCCTATAACTCTTCGTCTTAACTCACCATGACTAAGCGGCTCTCGCATGATTCACCTCGTATAGTTCTCATGAAAGAGAATTCAATTTTCTATATACATCGCCCTTCTGGAACGTCCGAGCGCCGATGTCCCCCAACATCGCTGATCTCCGTTGCGATGGTGATACAAGGGCAGTTTTAACTTCCAGCTATTAGGAAATTAACAAGTCGATGTCGTAACC